CTCAAAACATGTCGCTAATAAGCACTATATAGTAATGTAGTTTAGTGTTTTTATGGTGCGTACTCCTGAGCAGTCCAGTACAAGGATGAAACAGCTTTTCAGGGGCCCCAAATGTTTAATGGTACCCAAAACGATATCAGTTCGTGCTTAATATAACCTTAAAAATGTTTTTTAGACTATTTATCAGATGCATCACATAGTGAAACAGTAATATTTACAGTATAACATGGTGGACACAATTCCTTGTCCACATCTATTTAATATAGTTCTACAACTTTCAGACAGTGATATGGGTAGTAGAATCTTCCACACATGTAGGACAGGTGCTTGATCGTACCTGCTTCAAGTTTAGTAGGTACGGATGAGAAAAAGAATCTGGAGAATAACCTGGTTACAGGTTTGTATGCGAATGTACAAAGTCATACAACAGGAAGTCAAAGAGTGACTGATAGTCCTTAAAACTAACTCAGTGGCGTAGAGTGAGAGATTGGCAGCCGGATCCTTTTTTATTGAATCAACACTAAATACATGCAACATATTAGATTTAGCATCTGTTCTGCATACTGGCGGCCTGCTTAAACTTTGGGCCACTTCATTTTATCAAAGAATATATTGCATCAAATATCTCTTTTGCATAGTGTTTTAATCATTCAATTACGTTATCTGATCGTACTATACACTCCCGCGCATTTTTAAAATCATAACAATCAACTGCTTTACAAGTTGATAGACAAACTAAGAAAAAGCACCATAGTGGATGGTAACAGGCTACCAAGCTTATAACTGTAGATCAAATGATTATTCAGGAAATAAATAGCACAAACTGCAGATCGTTACCACAGAATGTAGGTTACCTTCACTCTCTCCTATCCAAAATGTTTATCGAAATACAAGTATAATAGTGCTTCAGAAAACATGACTTCTTTACCTATATGACGACGATTTAGTTTACTTAAACAGTTTCATATTGTTTCGACAAGATCGAAGCTTTTCCACGAAGAGATGTACTGGGAGTGTAGCAAAATTTATCAATGCAAACTGGTTCACCTCCAACTATCTATGCTTTAGCTTACCTAACGAAAAAATTGAGTGCATTACCAGCAAATATCATCCTAAACATTTGAGTAAATCCAAACATATATGCATAACAAACATTTATGTCACACCTGCCAGCAGTTTCTCAGGTTTGTTAACTTTTGTTGGTGAATTCACTACATTTGTTTCTTCGATTCCGGCACTCTTCTAATATACGGAGATTATTATTATTTAGAAAACAGATGACAGAAGAAGTTTGTTTGGATGTCTGTGCATTAGATAAGTCATCCATACGTCGGCAATCTGATTTCATCCTTCCTAGTGTCTATAGTCAAATGAATAGCTGCTTTCCTGATTTTAATACACAAGATCCATTTAAATGTCTAAACTCGTAGAATCTATACCTAAACGTAGGTTCCGATGACGTTTCTAGTATTATATTTAGCAAATGTGCAGATATTTTATGTCATCCATTACAGATATGTTCAATGCATTGTTTTCTAAACATAAAATGCCTGCTTCTTGGGAGGAGATCAAAGTTGTACATGGGGCTAAGTTATCTTCTCGATCAGAAGTTACGTTTCTACCCATTGCCACAACTTCCCGTTTTTTGAAGACAGTGGAGAAATTACTTCTCCTTGTGATTCAAGATTTTTAGAGATCCAAAACAATTTGCTTACAAACATAGGAGAAGTACTTTGGATGGTATCACTGTTTTGCTTCATAATATTGTTTCAAGTCTAGACAAACGTGTTAAGTATGTTCCTTGTGCCTGCTTGGATTATGCATCAGTCTCTGACTCTGTTCCTAGACCATTCTTGTTAATAAGCTTGCTATAGTTCATACTGAGTCATGGTGTAGTGGATAACGCGCTGGCGTTTGAAGCAATCGCTCCCGAGTCCGATTCCCGGTGGGAACAACATCACTCACTGGGAAGCAGGTACATCCAGCTGATGAGTCCCAAATAGGACGAAATGTGCATCCTGGATTCCACTGCTAGCCACGATCCAACCTTAACATAATCAGATTGCTGGCAATATTGAGGCATCCACACAGGAGCCCACATGCGACATTATGATATAAAAACCCTTATACTACATACTGAGTCATGGATTACAAAGTGGTTATTCTCTTATTTTTCTGAAAGGAAACAGTACACTATTCATAAAGGGATGCGCTCCACTTCACTGCTTACTGAAGCTGGTGTGCCCCAAAATGTTGTACTTTCTCCGTCTCTACCCTTGTTATTTTTGCGTGATTTACCTTATTCTGTTGAAACAAAAATTTATTAAGTATGCTGATGACCTGACGGTATCTATTCCAGTTAATTAACCCTCACTTAGATTGCTCTGAATTGAATGGATTCTCTTCTCTTATTGATCAGTAGTCTCTGTCAAATGGTCTCAAGTTAAACCCTTCTAAGTGTAAGACTGTTAGTTTTATTCTTAGGCGGAAACAAGACTTGTGTCAACTGCTTAAATCTCATGACGTCTGTTCCATTGATGATATTCTTACAGTAAGTAAATCGAGTGTTAACTATCTTCGATTGAGTTTCACTTCTGATCTTTGTTGGTCGTCTCATATCTTGTTGACTTGTAAAGAGGATCTTTCATTTAACGTATTACATAAAGAAACTGAAGCACTCTGGTATAACTCAACTTCTATCTTTACAATTTATTAATTCCTGCATTTTACCTATTTTTCTCTATTGTTCCACGTTGATCTTTCCTGGTCTTCAAAATACGACTATGTTGTATTGTTTGGGGCCGTCAGTAGGGTGAGTGCTGTCCCATTGATGCATGCAACTGATTAACACCGTAGTTGACAGACATTTAAATTCTAACAAGCAACTAGCTACACTAATCTTGACCGACACTGAGCATCTACTTCATTCACAGCCCTCTCCTTGTATCTCCATAGGGAGGAGAAGAAGAAACTACATAAGACTGTACCCTCTTAAAGAAAAGTACAAAAACTCGACTGTACCTTACCTAGCAAGCATATTATATGAGGGCAAAAGGAGTTAGAACAGAACTGATGTATTAACTTTGTAACAGTTAACAATCATACTTCAATAATTTAAGTAAAAATGTAAAATTTTCTCGTTTTTAATATCCTTTACTTAAATTCCGAATTGTATCAAAAATTGTTTGGACTAAAGTGATTATTATCATCATTAACATTATTATAATTATTGTAACGGAATATTCTGCTACACTTAACACAAAGAAGGCGAGAGAATCAGGACCATATAAACCATGTTTCAAAGTTGTGAAGTCATCTTGACACAACTATGGACGATAAGTTTTGCAGGAGACGCTATCCAGTAAATAATACTGTTTCACTGTGTCACATATCTTATAAACAAACCAAAATGAAGGCACCACTAAATAAGAGCCATGAGAACCACATACTTAGGTTTACTGAAACCTTAACCCCCCTCTTGCACATTCAAAAGCAGCTTATTCTTAGCATGGACCATCCCTGGTAATCTTTACGACATTTTAAGACAAAGCGTAGTGCGAAGGTCTGTTATTCTTCTCGACAAATCTTATATTATCCTAATTTGTTTGCCTTACCCCATTGTACTTAGTGCTTTCAGCCTTGAAACAACAGACTTTCCCCCCAATTATTCATTGATATAAAGTTTGTAGTCATTGTTCTTGCTGTTATCACAGTTTACACCTTTGTGTTTTGCTGATAAGTATGACCATTTTAACTGAAACATCATTCAATAGAAATCACTGAACTAAGTTAATTTACACCTTCAGTTTCCAGTTTAAATTTGGTTACCACTTATAAATTAGGTTGAATAAACAGTCGTATTTTAAGAGGAAAGCTTACTGTTTCACTAAACAACTGTCATGACCAGCACTGACAGGAAGGTAGATGGAAGGAATGACTATTCTACAGCATATCATAAAGAATTAAATGCCTAGGATTCTAATTCATATACACTTTTGAGAAAAGAAGTAAATAACTGCAGTTTTATGTGGTTTAGATTTCAGTAAAGGTCTAAGGGTTACTTTTATCCTTCAGTATGAAGAATTGCTGGAATTCGCAGTCAATTTACTGAATTTCGCTTCATCTGAAATGCTTGAATTAACTGGTAAACACTTTACCATAATCAAAGAATACACAGAGATATAATCTACATCATAGGTACTCACATTTTTATCGCTTCTCTCATTTTAAAAGCGATTTTTGCCTTTATGAATACATCATGACTATGAAGATGGAATTACAGGTAATATCAAGACATCCATGCAGAACCTGATCGAATCGGTTTAATCAATAACAGGAAATTAAAGGAAATAACATAAAAACTATGCCCATCGCACAAAGAATGGCTATCGTAACTCATTAGATAACCCCCTAGCGTTTCAAATGAATATCTGTTGGTTCGAATCTCAGTGGGAACAACACCACTCACTAATATATATATATATATATATATATATATATATATATATATATATATATATATATATATATCATTAGTCTCTTAAGCCTAAATATGATACAGGAGGTTAGTCACAAGCTGAATGGTTCAGTGATAGCGTCTCTAACTGCGGCACTGAAAAGCATATGTTCAAATTCCTGTAAAGATATCAGTTCCTTCAGAGTTGATGATTTGCCTTGCTGCCGAATGTTAAAAAGCATGAAATCAATATCCAGGGTTTTATGTTGATAGCTTACAATCATCTGAAAGTATGTTTGTTTGTTTTCAATGTAGCTCACTCCATACTCAAGCTAATGCAAGTAAACTCTACCTGTTATCTTTTGAATTCCTACCTCTTCTCTTTCACTATTCAAATAGATTGATGGAATATTCTCATGATTTCTGAGAGCATTTCAATTAGACCCCATAAAGTTTACATCTATAATCAAGTGAATACTTTCAAAATTATAAATACTTATCATTATTACCAATTAGTTATGCAAGTGACTTAAACTGTACTCACCAAAATACGTAACTGTTAACAATTGATCAGAACTTCTGACTGAACAATGATTATTTAAATATATATCTGTTTGAAGTTTGTCCTTGACTTGTAATTGGTGCATTTTGGATGTAATGATTTGATTGGTCAACTAGATTTTACTGATTAAAAGTTCATATTATCGATAATCTCTATTTCCTAATTAATATTTATTTACTTCATTGAAATTCTACTTAACTCGACATGAAAAAGTTCGGGTTCAATGATATTTAAAGGTGAATAAATATACATTACTACCTGTAGATATGAATAATTGAATTATTCTCTTCAACGTTTGTTTATTTACTTGTATACTTATTGTGAAAAGCAGAATAGAATATCATTTCAGTAATATAAGAATGTAATGTTAAGTCTGACCCATAGTATTTTGAAAAGAACAAAACAAACTAGTTGATTGCCATCCATTATTACAGATTAAAGACAATTGGAGATAGGTACTAGAACTGTGATAATCTGAGTAGGTGAATGCAGAGAATAAAGTAAAATACCGTGAGAAATAATATTTACATATATGTATATCAGTCCGTGCGTGATGAATGCCTAATTTCTATTCATTTGTCCCTTAGGATCCTAGTGGGACATAAGAGCTTCACCAGCACGTCATCATTTCACTCCCTTCTCTCCAGTCTTTTTAACCTGGCTACACAACTACTCATAACCTTTCATTTCTTCTTCACACGATCTACTCTATGTCACCCACGACTCGAACGCCCAACTCGTCGTTTCTCATTTCGCTTCCACTCCACAGCCTGACTTGGTCTGGCACGTGATGTTCCCAAACCATCGTTTCAATCCATGTCCTATACAATCGAATCCATCTCCACTTTCTTCTGAATATCTGTTGAGAGATGAGTTCTTGATTGGTTCATTTCCAGAGTTCCTTGTTGCTTATTCTTCCTGGACATCTGGTATTCAGTCAGTATCGACTGTGGGCGGCAACTGTTGATGAGTATCTGTAATTTGTTGGAAATGCTTTTCGTAAGGCGCTAAGTCTGTCAATCATCACCGATATTAGTGTTGAAAATCCGGATATCGTTCACGCTTTATGCTGAGTGAACTGCAGTAGATCTCCATACTGGTTTCGGATTAATGAAGGTGTGACTTGCTTTTCCGATCCTGGCTTCGAATCCTCATCTGTGCCACCACCTACAGTTGAAATGATGCCACCTACCTAGGTAAGTGAAACGGGAAATTTCCTTTACATTGGTGATAGTAGACGGCAACCTTGTCTTACTCCTGTCTTCACTCCACTTCAAAGGCATCACTGAGCAGCTTCCCATTGTGAATCACTCGGCGTGTGGCATCATATAGCATAGGGGTGTAGAATGAGGTTGATAGAGATTTGTGGCACTGAAACCATTGTGTTGAAGCAGTTGCCAAATTACTTGTTGTTTGACGCTGTCGAAGGCCTTTTCAAAGTCGACGAAGTTGAGGTGGAGTTGATTTGACTGGTGTTCTGTGCTCTGTTCTGTGATGATGCGTAGCGTAGCATAATATTTTGTTTGCTTTGGGTGGACAGGAGCATGATTCCATGCCGGTTCTTGTAAAGACTTAGGTCAACCTTCTTTGGCATTTTGACAACTTCGACCTTCTTCCAATCGATCACCAGGTACCTTTCTTCCCCTCCTTGCTTCCAAATACTGTGTAATAGTGGTGTGAGCGAATCCGCAGTTGTCTCTGTGTCTGTTTTCAGTGCTTCTGGAGGAATTCCATGTGGTCGTGCTGCTTTCCCGGATTTCATCAACGTAATGGAGTTGAGGATTTCATTTTTGTTCTTGTCGGAGTCTTTGTGTTTTCACTGACAGTTCTGTATCTAAAATCTGGATATTGTCCACGCCTTATTCTGGGTGCAGTGCAGTAGATCTCCAAAGTGATTTCAGACTAGTGAAGGCCTGTTTTGCTTTTCGAGTCCTGTCTTTGACATCCTCATCTGTGCCATCACCTGTAGTTGAAACGTTGCTGCAAAGGTAGGTGAACAAGACAACTTCCTTTCGGTTTCTCTCGTTGATGGTGACTGGTGCTTGTTGTTGTTGTTGGTTGGGTATCTTCGTCACCTCTGTCTTCTCCACGTTCACTTGAAGTTCCGTCTTCGCTACCTCTTCTGTCAACTTGTTGATGAATGCCTTTCTTGAAATCAATCACACCTCACTATCATGTGCTTCATTGTGATGTATTTCCCCAAGTCCTAATGATAAGTCGTGACGTTTGACGTCAAGCAAGTCGCTTGAGAAGATAAATACTAGACTATGACTGTGAATAAACATTGCGCTATATCATGTGCTCACTCGTCGGTTGGATACCTGGAGGGAACACTGTTGCACACTGCTGAGGAGTTGTACAATAGACCGAAACAGCTCTCCATTGCTTATGGACTTTCAGTGCTTATATAACTGATGTAAGTCCATGATGAATAGAAGCTTTGATCTGGATGGAGATTTATGGTCTACATAATCTTTAAAAACCCCTGCTCCTTTCTTCATTTGCTTAACCAGAGACTGGTAACTGAATGGAAAGTAGTATTTCATTTGAGATTAAATTGAATCCCTCATTTTATACAAGCAGGAATAAGAATACTAGGGGATTTAGCATTCATGTGTTTTATGGGTTCTCCTCAGCTGCTCTACTATCTGTAGAATATAATGTTTATTCTGAAAAAGAGATGTTATACGATATGCTCTGTGAAATCAACAAAAGTGTCTCAATTCAATCAGAGACCACATCGTCACAGCAAGCCACTAAATCACTCACACAGAGATATTGACAGCTCATTTCATAGTGAAGTTAGTGCTGATGATGTCGCTGTCTAGAAAGATGATGAAAGCTTCACGAATAAACAACCTAACTCAGAGAACATAATACAAACAAGGCCATCCACCTGAGCTATAAATATTCTCCATGGTTTCAATTCAAATGGAAAGTAACAAGACTTAGATTGACCGAAATTGATGAAGTTGTTATGATTACTCAAACGTTAACTATTTGCACAGTGACAGAATGAATATTCCACAGGAAATATCAATATATATATGTATATATGAATGGGATTGGGTTAGACTTTATGTTTTTCTAGAATTGGTAATAAAAAAGTATTAAAAAGTTGACAAAATTCCATGTTAGACTGAGTATTAAGGTGAACAGAAGTTAGAAAGTGAGAATAGGTTTTAAAACAGATTGAAAGATAGAATGAAAAAGTTGTAGATCATGAGATAATGAAATGTTTTAGTAAAACCTTAAAAAGATTAAGATTACTATGGAAGTAAAGTAAGATTGACAGCAGGATCTTTCTAAATACACCGATCTAGTTTAAGTCTTTGAACTGGAAAAGTTTTCACAAAGCTAGAAATATATGAAATTTTAGTTGTTTATTGAACATGTTGAACGATTTCAATATATCAACTTAACAAAATTTCATGACCTCAAGACGTTTTGTTTTTCTATTTCACTTTATTTATCCATATTTGTCAGATCATAAGCATACTTTCTGAGTCCCATTCTGTTGACCTTTCACTGGACGTATTTAAACATGATATCATTCATACTGGTTATGGAATAACATTTTGTACAACCATAGTCTGGTTATCTTCTCTAGAATATTCATTCAATCACTGTTTAAATTATTATTATTATTTTTCCCTTGGGTTTCTAGTCAAACATACGGATTCACTAGCACGTCTCCAGTACACTCTCTTCTCTCCAGTCTTCAAAACCTCACTCCACGACTCCACACAACCTCTCGATTCTCAATCACACAATCTCCTCAATCTCACCCTCACCTCGGACGCCCAACTCACCGGTCCCCATCTGGGTTACACTCGACGGCCTTGCCTCGCCTAATGCGTGATGTCCCCCAATGGTCTTCTCAGTGCATGCTCAGTCCAGCCTAGCCCAGCCCAGCCCATCCAAATCCATATCCACTTCCTTCTACTGCATATTTGTTGAGTGATAGATTCTTGCTTCGTTGGTTCGTTACCAGCCAGCCAGCCAGCCAGCCAGCCAGCCAGCCACGGTTACTTGTTGCTCACTCTTATTATTCTGGCCATCTGATCTTCATTCAGTAAGGAGCCAGTGTAGGCAGCAGTTGTTCATGAATATCTGCACTTTGCTGGAAATCCCTTTCGTGACACACCAAGTCTCTCAACCATCACATAGAAGCACTGACTTACTCGACTGACAGTTGTGTTGAAAATCCGGATATTGTTCACGCTTTATGCTGAGTGCAATGCAGAAGATCTCCACACTGGTTTCAGGTTGATGAACACAGGCCTGTTTTGCTGTGTTTCCGATTGTGTCTAGTTTTGACATCCTCGTTTATGCCGCCACCTGTAGTTGAAACGATGCTGACCAAACTGTTGACTGGAGCCTGTTGTTGATGTTGTTGTTGTTGTTGGTGGTGGTGGTGTTGGTTGGGTATCTTCATCTGTCACCTCTGTCTTCTATGCATTCACTTGGAGTCCTGTCTTCGCTGCCCCGCCTCGCCTCTTCTGTCAACTTGTTGGATTTTGCCTGTACATCTTCGAGTTTGTGTGACATTAGACACAAGTCATCGGCGAAATCCAAATCTTCTTGTGGGGTCTTTTTCCCGGTCCAGCCATCGTATCCACCTCTTCTCGTTCCTCACTGTTTGTTGCATGACCCAGTCCACTACAACCAGGAATGTCGTGGTTGATAGTAGGTTGCAGCCTTGTCTTACCCATTCCTGTCTTCACTCCACTTCAAAGGCATCACTGAGCAGCTTCCCATTGTGAATCACTCGGCACGTGGCGTCTTCATATAGTTGTTGAATGAGGTTGATAAATGTTTGTGGTATTCCGTAGTGTTGAAGCAACTGCCTGCCTAATTACTTCTCGGTCGACATTGTCGAAGGCCTTTTCAAAGTGTATGAACTTGAGGTAGAGTTGAGTTGACTGGCATTCTATACTCTATTCTATGATGATGCGTAGCGTTGCGTTGCACTTTGATCCGCACATAATTTGTACTTCCTGAATCCAGCCTGTTCTGGTCATAGTTTTGAATCTAGCACATCCTTTAGTCTCTCCAGGATGATGCGGCCTGATATTTTGTTTTGGGTAGGCAGGAGTGGAGCATGATTCCGCGTCAGTTCTTGCAAAGACTTACGTCGCTCTTCTTTGGAAGTTTGACAAGTTAGCCCTTCTTCCAATCTTCAGTTATAAATAGTTAACCTTAGTAACTTCATCAATTTCGGTAAACTTAAAGACGTTATTGGATGTGGGTAGCGTTATGTCGTGAACTGCACATAAGTGAGAAAGATGGACCATTGGTTCATTGATTCAATGGTAACGTGCTTGCCATAGAACTTGAATGTCCTAAATTCAATCCCTGGTGGGGTGGGGACATGAGCGGGCACTGCTGAGGAGTACCATACTTGGATGAAACATATGTTCGGTGCTACCAGTTTTCTGATCATTCCCCAACTGATGTCAATCCATGATGAATACAAATCTTCGATCTCAATCGACACATTGTTGTCGATTTAAATGAGTATATAACTATCAGTCAAGGACAAGTCGATAGGACAAATCAATAATGAAGCACACACAGCATTACAGTAACAAATAGAACAATGTAACTCCGACAAAGATTCTCTACCATGATGACCGAGTGAAATTTAAGGTTAAATAGGCCGAGGTTGGATGAAAATCCCTTCCGCAACTTATGATTGGACGACATCCAAGGTCATTAAAAGCACTAAATAAACATGGGACAGCAAGGGCACCAAGAAATGATCCATTCGAAATAATATAACAATATTGTGAAGACACAAAGTGAAGAGAAGTGGGTAAAAATGAAACACAATAAGAAGAGAATGAATAGAAGGGCAGTCTATTATGATACATCCAAAACAAAGCATTCACTGCTTTTCAGCAGCAAAAAGATAGAAGGAACCTATAACATGACCGCCACTGGTTTCAATTCTGACCTATATCTGATAGCGTCTCAGGCTACTGAGTTGCGTGATCTGTCAGACTCCAAAAAAGGAATCGTGATGCACCAACAGATGCGATCACGATACATGTCATACACTGACCACCCGTTCGCTTCTTCTATCCAGTTCCAGGGTTAGCAAACAATGAACAGTATGGAAGCCGCTGGAACGACAGGCTTGAAACATATCCAAGTCACTGAAAGCTGCGTTTCCACATGACTTCTTATATAGAATGAGGATCTGCATCATGCCTGAACATCAGCTATTATATCTCTGAATTACTATCATAGTCTTGTCACTGGATACAAGCAATCCTACGGAAACAATGATGATCCAACACAGAGTAGTCGCATATCCTCAGCTCTCACAGAAGTAGAACAGAATTGCTTGCATCGAAGCCTTGTAAACCCTACCTTTTACGGTCAAACTAACATCACGATGGGACCAAATGTGGCCTAGATTGATATATGTCACTCTGGCTTTTGATGTACAATTGGAAATTTCATCACTCATACCTCCACCAGCACTCACGCAACTAGTCAGATAAACAAACTTTTCGACTACTCAAACGACTCACCACCGATGGTGAGCTCAGGCACAAACTCTTGTCAATTTTATAAAATTACTTTTGCACTTTGACAGTACGAAGTATATACAATACTTACGGAGACTAATCATCAACTGAATTATTGTAGTCTGAATAGCTTGTGTATTAATGCACAGTAAGACGATATCGTCGGCATATTCAGAGTTGAATATTCGTTCTCCGGGTAGAAGATCTACACCAGCACGCACTTCCTTCACAACTGTCACAAGAATGTCATCGATGACAAAGTTAAAGAGGAATGGAGAAATCTGGTAACCCTGCCTTACCCCACTGCTGGTTAAGAACAGTGGAGATGGGTGGTTATATGCCCTCACTTTGCCTGAGGTGTTATTATGTGAGGATTTCGAGATGTTAGGAAATTTCTCAGACACGCCCCTTTCCAACAGACAATTCCATAGCGTAACTCCATCCAAAGAGTCGATGGTAGCCCTAATGTTGAAAAACACAACGACTGTTAGGCTGAAACACTTGTGGCGACGTTCAAGCGTCTGGTGAGGGGTAAACATATGATCTATGCATTCACAACCTGAATGAAACCTGGCCTGCTCCTTGCCTACTACCCTACTACTTATTCGTCTTCTTTTCCCAACCACAGACTATTTCCGCCTAGGCTATCACTGAAGATATCGAGACAAAATGATAGGCATTGTTTTTATTCTTGAATTAAGTCATCTTATCTCTGTATTTTAAATATCAAGCAATAGCTATACTATTGCAGCATCGTTTCAACTACAGGTGGTGGCATAAACGAGGATGTCAAAGCCAGACAAAATCGGAAACACAGCAAAACAGGCCTGTGTTCATCAACCTGAAACCAGTGTGGAGATCTTCTGCATTGCACTCAGCATAAAGCGTGAACAATATCCGGATTTTCAACACAACTGTCAGTCGAGTAAGTCAGTGCTTCTATGTGATGGTTGAGAGACTTGGTGTGTCACGAAAGGGATTTCCAGCAAAGTGCAGATATTCATGAACAACTGCTGCCTACACTGGCTCCTTACTGAATGAAGATCAGATGGCCAGAATAATAAGAATAAGCAACAAGTAACTGTATCTGGCTGGCTGACTGGCTGGCTGGCTGGCTGGCTGGCTGGCTGGCTGGCTGGCTGGCTGGCTGGCTGGCTGGCTGGCTGGCTGGCTGGCTGGCTGGCTGGCTGGCTGGCTGGCTGGCTGGCTGGCTGGCTGGCTGGCTGGCTGGCTGGCTGGCTGGCTGGCTGGCTGGCTGGCTGGCTGGCTGGCTGGCTGGCTGGCTGGCTGGCTGGCTGGCTGGCTGGCTGGCTGGCTGGCTGGCTGGCTGGCTGGCTGGCTGGCTGGCTGGCTGGCTGGCTGGCTGGCTGGCTGGCTGGCTGGCTGGCTGGCTGGCTGGCTGGCTGGCTGGCTGGCTGGCTGGCTGGCTGGCTGGCTGGCTGGCTGGTAACGAACCAACGAAGCAAGAATCTATCGCTCAACAAATATGCAGTAGAAGGAAGTGGAGATGGATCGGGATGGGCTGGGCTGGGCTGGACTGGGCATGCACTGAGAAGACCATTTAGGGACATCACGTATTAGGCGAGGCAAGGAACTCGAGTGTAACCTAGATGGGAAACGACGAGTTGGGCGTCCGAGGTGAGGGTGAGATTGAGGAGATTGTGTGATTAAGAAATGAGAGGTTGTGTGGAGTCGTGGAGTGAGGTTTTGAAGAATGCAGGGAAGAGAGGGTAATGGAGACGTGCTAGTGAATCCGTATGTTTGACTAGAAACCCAAGGGAAAAATAATAATGATAATCGCTATACTTTTATCTCGTATACTTTCAGTTTGCGAATAAATATGAACAACAGTAGCCTAAATCTTTAATAATAGAGAAGCGTTTAAATAACCAGGGTAATTATTATACTTAAATTTCCCACAGCTTTAATATTTTCAATTGTAACCAGCTTCTTGACATTCAATGATGTTGTTCATATATGAAAAGTGGTACACTTACTATGTACATACAAATTCATGTAAATTCAAATAAAGTGCCTATTTCATCAACTTTTTGTTTAAACTCAATTATAATTGGTGTTAACAATATTTAGTCATTCAATGTTTCAATAGTTTATGCATAAGAAGACTTTGATAAAATCTCTTATGTTGTATATATATATTCTGCAGAAAGTTTATGGTATAAGTGGTTAATTACTTTATCGAAGTTCTCACATTTTTAAAAATATAGAACAATACAGAAATGGGTATATGTTGTCAATAAACAAGATTGAAACAATCTAATTCGAATCTTTCTTGAACGTTTTAATATACTAAATTCAATAATTAATTAGAGAATTACAATTTTCTTCAAAATAAATTAGAGTGTTGATTAGTTAAGCCTATTGAATATTCAACTTTTATTAATCAACACAAATTGTATTGAATAGAAATTTTTATCTGTTTGTCATTGATAGGCAACTTACATGAAACGGTATAAACCATGAATCAACAGTGCTTACTACACCAGGTCAAAATGATCTACGTACTGGAGGGATATTTCACTAGCTAATGACTAAGCTTATCAGCTTAGAAGGTTGAATTGTTTAAACTAGTGCAAATTTCTACCAGAGAATTGAATGGATATATCTTACCTGGAATCAAAACAGGTACGTGTTCAAAAAAAGAATACACTTCATAGTGTAAGATCTTACTACATTTTCCTGTGAAACCTAAAATATTTAGATCACATAATGTGATCTCCATGACATCACTACAACCTGCGCATACTCAGTAAACACATGATTCGTTTCTACATATTTGCATGAAGAAACAATAACAATACCAATGTCATTATATACCTCAGTATTCATTTGTTTAAATGTCGGATTAAGATTCAGAAATGGGAAGCTTATACTGAAACAAATTTCAGATTGCATTATTCTATTTCGTATGTGAAAACAATGGAGAATATCTGTAGCTCAGGTGAATGGTCCTAGTTGTATTGTGTTCTCTGAGTTGGGTTGTTTAATCATGAAGCTTTCATCGTCTTTCTAGACAGCGACATCATCAGTACTAACTTCACCATGAAATGAGCTGTCAATTTCTCTCCGTGGGTGATTCTGTAGCTTGTCCTGACGAATTGGTTCGTGATTGGTTATTTCCTCTGATTGTTATGTCATTGACTGACTGAATAGATTTCCATGTTGGCTGTTTCTCTACTTCACCTCTCATCTTTCTGTCGTTTATCACTTTTCTCATTACTTAAAAGATTCGATTTATGTCTATACATCTGTTGATTGCTGGCTGACTGACCTGAATGCCAAGCTTCTAGGAATTCTCTGATATTCTTTGTCTTTCCTCTCTATCTCTCTGTCCAACATTTCTACATTATCGAAATTCAATTCATGTCCATCATTGTTATCCACGTGCATTGAGATGAGGGATGAAATGTCATGTGTGACATTTAATAGCCAATTAGTGTTCGGGAAGTCTTAAGACAAAATAACTATCCAGACAAACTATTAAAGAGGATCCAATAAAAATATGAAAAAGTCAAGCCATAAAGATTGGATAATTACTATAGTACTTCCTTATCGAACATCCACTTCAGAGGAAATAAGACGTATCCTTAATAGTTACAACATCAGAGTATTCTTTAAGGTGACGAATACATTACACTCACACCTGTGTAAATTAAAAGATCCGGTTCCTCATTTGGAACAACAAAACTGTGTTTATAAGGTAGACTGCAGTGAATGCGATGCCATATATATTGGAGAGACATCACGTCAAGTACTAACACGTCTAGCCGAGCACGGTAGAAGTCCCAAAAAACCATCAAAAAATTCCTATGATCTAGAAAAACTTGAAAAAATCTCTGCTATCGCAGCTCATGCCCTATATTCAGGTCATAAAATGTCATTCGAACAGACAAAAGTTCTGCAAAAGGGTTTTCTCTCTCACAAAGAGCGGACCATTGCAGAAGCTTTGCACATATGCTCATATCCTTCTTCGGTCAACAGAAAAGATGGGTTAGACATCCCACTAATATGGCAAACATTAATGACTCGCCTAGGCAGTTATAAATAATATCTGAAGAGAAGGTAGATTGTTTAGTCCTATTACATACACCTTATTAATCTACTATTTTCATCAATTTTACACTACTCTCTGAATCATATACATTCGATGAACCATAACATAATCCATTTTGTTATCACTCATACTTCAAGTGTTATCAAAAGTACATTTATGGTTACCATTATTATTATTTATTTAAGATAGATATATTGTCTCATCTTCAAATATTCATCCTTCCAAACTAGTAATCTATTCTTTCTCACCCTTGATGTCTCACAACCCCATTGTACTTTTCATAGACGAACTAAAAATATTTCCGCATCCTATTTTTGTTCCACCTTACTCGCACAACGGAAAAACCTCTCTGACCGAGTTGCTTATTCACTCACCTGTATTACATTGATCTTTGCTCCATATCACTATGTAATTGGATGATTGTAAAGGTCACCACTTTGTGTACCAAAACTTGAATATTAACCTGAAAACTTAGTGTCAGATTCATACTCTTGGAAAGGAACTTCCTAGCGAGATCGAAACGTTGAGGAATAATACTACGCCGGGATTACACAAGTGAAAATACATCCTATACAATGAATTAGTGTTAATGTAGACGAAGGCGAAGAGGGTGACCACTCTCTGTCCAATGTAGTGTTGACTACAGTGAGTTAGTGCAGTTGATTTTGTAAATGATATTCGGTTTGTCTTCTTTGGTTGTTGTATCATTTGGTCTGCATACTAGTGTTTGGAGGGAATTTGTTGATTTATGAGCCACAGCAATTCCAAACGATCTCAGCAATCTTGTCATGATTTCTGATATATTCCTTATGTATGGTAGGATGGTGCCTTTGTTGATTTCTGTCGATGACTTTGTAGTTGATTATGTACGGGATAGGCATCTTCTGAAATGGTTTCGTGAGTAGCCGTTCTTCTTTAGCATGGTCATCAAGTAATTTTCTTCTTTTCCCCGTGAAGTTGTTGTACTACAGTGTGTTCTCGCTCTTTTGAATACAGTCTGCAAGCAAATGACTTTTTGTGTCGTTGGATTGTTGCTACTGTAGTTGAGGATTTGTTCAGTGTGTGTTGGTTTGCTGTAAAATTGTGTTTCCAGCTTCCTGGTATTTGCCCTACTGACTAGAACATCGAGGAATGGTGGTCGGTTGTTTGACTCCTTCTCTATTGTGAATTTGATGTCGCTGAAAACGTTGTTGATCAAACTGTGAGTGTTTTCTATATCACCTTTCTTTAATGATGACAAAAGTGTCATCCATATAGCGAATCCAGAATTTCGGTTTAATCACAGGTAGCATCGCTACTGAAGATCAGATGGCCAGAAAGAATAAACAACAAGGAGCTCTGAGAAAGAACCAACCAAGAACCTATCACGCAACAAACATGCAGAAGGAAGTGGAGATGGATTAAGCATACACTGAGAAGGCCGACTGGGGACATCACGCGTCAGGCCAGTCACTCGAGTGGAATCCCCATGGGAAGCGACGAGTTGGACGTCCGAGGGTGACATGGAGGAGATCGTGCGAGGAGGAAATGAGAGGTTGTGGGCTGTCGTGGAACCAGGTTCAAAAGATCTCAGAGAACAGCGGTCACTGGAGACGTGCTACTGAAGCCCTATGTTCCACTAGGAACTCAAGGGACTAATAATATATAATAACAATAATAATAATACAAGTAGCATCACTGCTTCTGCAATTAATCCGGATATCGGTGATCTCATTGGAGTTTTTTCCATCTGTTTGTATATCTTGCCGTTGAATTGGAAGTATGTTGTCATACAAAGATTCATGAGTTCCACTGAACTTGAACATTTAACTTTTGTGTGATCTGAAAGGTTTGTGTCTTCATTGAGCAGGAGAGATATAGTTTCCTTAATCATTTGGGGTTCAGTGGATATTTATAGTGCTGTGACATCGAAGGATACCATTAATTCGTCGTTTCCTATGTTAATGTTTTTGATCTTTTCTAAGGACTCCATTAGTGACTTGATGGAATGTTTGCATGATTGAACGAGGTGTTTCAGTCTTCTCGAAAGTTCTCTTGATATGTTGTATGTTGGAATTCCTCGGAAGAGGTGAGACTATTGCTCGTAGAGGGATGTTTGGTTTGTGTAGTTTTGGTCTGCCGTAGAACCAAGGGAGGACACGTCCATTCGATTTCATTACATGGTAACACCTTATTGCACCCTTTGTCGTGTGCTGATTGCATTTAGTACCAGCCACCTCAGATCCATCAATAAAAAGACATGACTTAGTAGAAAATAATTATAAAGTTGTCCTATTTTTCTTACGAAATCGGATGTTGAAATGATGGAGAACATTTGTAGCTCAGGTGGATGGTCTGGTTGTATTATGTTCTCTGAGTTAGGTTGTTTATTCGTGAAGCTTTCATCATCTTTCTAGACAGCGACATCATCAGCACTAACTTCACTATGAAATGAGCTGTCAATATCTCTGTGTGAGTGATTTAGTGGCTTGCTGTGACGATGTGGTCTCTGATTGAATTGAGACACTTTTGTTGATTTCACAGAGCATATCGTATAACATCTCTTTTTCAGAATAAACATTATATTCTACAGATAGTAGAGCAGCTGAGGAGAACCCATAAAACACATGAATGCTAAATCCCCTAGTATTCTTATTCCTGCTTGTATAAAATGAGGGATTCAATTTAATCTCAAATGAAATACTACTTTCCATTCAGTTACCAGTCTCTGGTTAAGCAAATGAAGAAAGGAGCAGGGGTTTTTAAAGATTATGTAGACCATAAATCTCCATCCAGATCAAAGCTTCTATTCATCATGGACTTACATCAGTTATATAAGCACTGAAAGTCCATAAGCAATGGAGAGCTGTTTCGGTCTATTGTACAACTCCTCAGCAGTGTGCAACAGTGTTCCCTCCAGGTATCCAACCGACGAGTGAGCACATGATATAGCGCAATGTTTATTCACAGTCATAGTCTAGTATTTATCTTCTCAAGCGACTTGCTTGACGTCAAACGTCACGACTTATCATTAGGACTTGGGGAAATACATCACAATGAAGCACATGATAGTGAGGTGTGATTGATTTCAAGAAAGGCATTCATCAACAAGTTGACAGAAGAGGTAGCGAAGACGGAACTTCAAGTGAACGTAGAGAAGACAGAGGTGATGAAGATACCCAACCACAACAACAACAAGCACCAGTCACCATCAACGAGAGAAACCGAAAGGAAGTTGTCTTGTTCACCTACCTTTGCAGCAACGTTTCAACTACAGGTGATGGCACAGATGAGGATGTCAAAGACAGGACTCGAAAAGCAAAACAGGCCTTCACTAGTCTGAAATCACTTTGGAGATCTACTGCACTGCACCCAGAATAAAGCGTGGACAATATCCGGATTTTAGACACAGAACTGTCAGTGAACACAAACGCTGTGACAAGAACAAAAATGAAATCCTCAACTCCATTACGTTGATGGAATCCGGGAAAGCAGCACGACCATATGGAATTCCTCCAGAAGCACTGAAAACAGACACAGAGACAACTGCGGATTCGCTCACACCACTATTACACAGTATTTGGAAACAAGGAGGGGAAGAAAGGTACCTGGTGATCGATTGGAAGAAGGTCGAAGTTGTCAAAATGCCAAAGAAGGTTGACCTAAGTCTTTACAAGAACCGGCATGGAATCATGCTCCTGTCCACCCAAAGCTACGCTACGCATCATCACAGAACAGAGCACAGAACACCAGTCAAATCAACTCCACCTCAACTTCGTCGACTTTGAAAAGGCCTTCGACAGCGTCAAACAACAAGTAATTTGGCAACTGCTTCAACACTATGGTTTCAGTGCCACAAATC